ACTGTGGTCAATGTCATGAGACAAAGTGTATGTGAACTGCTGTATGGAAAGTGAATTTGCTCTGTAAATCTTCACCCAAATCACAATTTAAAAAAAGAAGCAATGACTGTCCTGATAGAGTAGCTATGGTCTTATTTCCAAGTCTGATTCTCCATCTTTTCAATCAATTCTGTGAATTCTGCTATATTCTTCTAATACACTCCATTTTTGTATAAAATGATATGTTTTGATTTTTCCTGTTTACAATCCAGTATGCTGATGAACCACAACATTATTTCCATCTTCCTGATGAAGAAACTAAGGCCCAGAGGGCTTAAGTAACTTCCCTAAGGTCATACATGTAGGAAATAACAGAGTAAGAATACCAAATCTGTCTAGCTCAAAAGCATGTTCTCTTTCTGCCATTTCTCTGTCTTCTAGGTAGGTATATGCCTTCCCCACTTCTCTTATCATATACCCTGGGTTGTTCTAAGCCATAAAAGGCTCTTTGGGGTCCCACTGCAGAGGAATAAGGGGCAAGATGGAAGTAATAAGAAATTGTAGCATTTTTCTGTCTCTTGCTAGGCTTGGAAATTTGCTAGATTTTCTTGTGCCAACTCCAGTCATTACCTGTTTCCCTCGGGCACGTCACATACTTTCTCATCTCTGGAATGGGTCTAATGTGCCCTTTCAGAGTTCAAAGAGCATAATAGATCAGCTACTGGAAAAAAAAAAAATCATTGCCATCGAGTTGATTTGTGACCTTGGGTTTCTAAGATGGTATCTCTATGGAAGTTGATTGCCCAATCTTCCTTCTGAGGAGTGGCTGGGGTTAGCAATCAAATGTCTTAGGCAATATGCCACCAGGGCTCTCAGGTCGGCTACAGTCATTTTTTTTTTTTCTTCTTCTTCTCCTACACCTCTATCTCATCTTCTGGCGAGTGTTCTCCTTGATTCCTGAGGAATGGAGTTAGCCGCCAGCTTTTCCTCTATCCTTCACTTCCTATTGTAGTACATTGCATCTGGAGATATTCTAAATGAATTTTATAGTCTTGAATGATGGGAAAACTCATGAGAGACATAGAAGCTGCATCCTACTTCTTTCTTCTGTTTTCTTGTAGCTCTCTCTGTGTGCAATGCCTTTTTGCAAAAGATTTATTAAAATAAAACATACATGACAAAATCACTTCTTCCTTCCACTCTTCCCAAACTTTCAATGACATCAATGCTTAGGAAATAAAACTCTGAACTCCCTAGCTTGAACTTCAAAGGCTTCCAGGAATAGGTTTTAACCTCGTTTTTTAACCTCAGTTCCCATTTTATTGCCCTGACAGTCTACACATGCACAAACACACACACACACACACACACACACACACATGAAAGAGTCTCACCATTTCTCTCCTTACATTTGAATTTCATGCCTTTGAGCTTTTGAACTCTGCCCTAATTACATTTCCTCTACTTCCTTTTCTGTCTATTAAAATCTTACTCATTCTTCAAAGAACAATTAATACCTCCCCTCTAAAAGCCCCCAGTTGGGTAGTCATGCCATCTTCTGTGATCTCACAATACCTGACCAATATAAAATTCTGTCTCTCATTCTGCTTTTTAATAAGGTTAGTCATATGCCTGTGTTCCCACTAAACTGAAGGCAGTAGGGTGGATTAGAAAGAGGACAGTCTTTAGAACCAGACAGACTGGGTTCAAAACCTGGCTTCTCACTTATGCACCTTGAGCAAATTTCTTGCCTCCATTTTCTCATCTGTAAAATAGAAATGATAACACCTACCTTGTTCAAATGTTTTCATATCAAATAAATAATATTCATATGAAAATTAAAAACACATTTTTTATGATTTCTAATTTTCCAACCACTGCAACTGTACACACACACATGCACACACACACGCACACACACATTTAAATTCTTTCTGAGAAGAATGAATTCTGAAGAAAATAAAGAGATGAACAGAGAACAAATTTTAGACAGAGTGCTTTATCGTTCTTAAAAGAGAAGATTCAAGTTGGGGGAAGAGGGAATGAAGACAGTAAAAGGGAAAGAAAGGCTGAGGAGGAGGGTGGTGGCAAAGGCTTGAAGTGAGAGATTTAAACTCCCTGGAGAAAGAAAGAAATATTTAGAGAGAAGTTTTGCTGTGTGATGTGTAACCCTTTCCTCTGAACCTGTTTAAAAAAAAATTCAGTAAAAGTTATATTCTTCGTCAGTGCTTTGGCAGTTAGATTTGTTGTTGCTTGTTGGTTTTGTTGTTGTTTTATAATAATTTATTTTACTTTTCATTGTTGTTGCTGAAAATATACACAGTAAAACGTATACTTATTCAGGTTTCTGCACATACAGTTTGATGACATTTGATCATATTCTTGCAGTTCTACAACCATTCTCACCCTCCTTTTCTGAGTTGTTCCTCCTTTATTAACATAAACTCACTGCTCCCTAAGGTTTCCATCTAATCTTTCCAGTTGCTGTTTTCCACTTGACTCCGCTTATTTGCTTTTTTAACATGTTGTTGTTGTTGTTATGTGCCGTCGAGTCGGCCCCGAGTCATAGCGACCCCTCCTTGGGTTTCCGAGGCAGTATCACTACGGAAGTAGGATTGCCCAACCTTCCTTCCGAGGAG